ATTTCATTTCATTTTCATTTACCATTTGGTTTTGGAATGAAGGGAGTTTTTTCGACAAAAACCAAATTCACTGAATTTCGTGAACATTGCCGTTTTCGTCTGTCGATTGCACCCTACTAATGGATAGATATTCGAACGAACATTTCCAAAAACATCTTCTTTCGTACAAAAGTAGTGTACTTTTACGTCATTTTCAGGCCTAAAATGTGGAATATAACATGGGTGCAAAAAATGAAAAAAGGGCCTCAGTCATGAAGGGGTTAATCTACCAGGTATCAGAAGTAAGAGAGCTGCTAATTTGCATACTGGCAGTTCTCCTGGAGCCAGAAACCCCCAAAGAATCAATCCATCCATCCATTTATAGATTTTAATAGCTCCCTCACTGCAGCATATGTAGAGATTTTCATTTAAACCAAAGTGTGCTTTAAGGACATATTAGCTTACACTGCCTAGGGCAAATTCAACATACTACACAGGTCCACTAGAATTATAACTGCAAGAAGCATCCCTACCAAAAAGATTTTTCTATAAAGAAACCATTAGTAAAGCCCAGAGCTCTGTACACCAAGCACACATATCAAATGACCAATATAATATTGAAAACACAAAAGTCGAGCTGTCCAGGCATTAGATGTTTGCATAATAATAGGCCTGACTTTCTAAAATTAAAAAAGAACTGTTTTTAATAAAGAAGCCTTAAACCTCACTATAGAAAAGCTTAAATAAAGTATATTTTCATGCCAATATACACAAAGGAAGTGCAAAATGACTCAGAGGTAGCCCATAAACAGCTGTTGGGATGAAAAGTATTCAGTGTTTGCTGACATGCCTTCTGTAATATTATGAAAATATATTTTACAGTGATTAGGAACATATTCATTTTCTATCCATGCCACAAAATCTAAAGATTTGTGAGATTAGATGTTACCAATGCAGAGTCGTAAAACTATTAACCAAACTAATTGCAGGGATACAATTTCCTGTAAGGCTGCCCGTCTTAAATTTCATTCATTTGTCTTCTCCATTAGTAGCCCATGCCTGTAACAGAGACAGAAATTACTTGGTCATAACTATTAATATGGAGTCTTTTAATTGACCTCCGTGGTTTCATCAGGTACTTTAGGATGTTAATGCTGATGAAAAGCAGCCTCACACAATAAACGTCCAGCAAGCCAGTAGACCTGCACTGCCCTCCTGCTGATACCGCTGCTGCAGATGAGTGGGGTTTGTAGGTTTTCGATAGATATTGGTTTCCATTTCATGATTTTTGCCAAAGGGGCTATTTTCGGCCGATATGTTTCGGTGGCCGATATATAGGTGCATCCCTAGTGGAAATCTTTGGAAGGTGGAAAGGCCCTAGTTAGTGACCCAGATGACCACCAGGGATTTATCTTAATTTGTAGGGATTTCCTCTCATTTTCTGTTGTGGCTATGAAACAGGAAGTGAAGGGAAATCTCCCCAATGGGAGGCACATGGCAGAAAAAAAACAGACAGGGATTATAACCCTTCCTTACTCTATCCAAAGGTAATTTAGTTCCACTTTAATGTAAAAAAAAAACAAAAAAACTTGTATTTGAAGGCAGAAATGTAAAACAATATGATTATGATTTCCTGCTGCACAATGAGAAAATAACCACTATACCACAGTAGTAAAATCACTTCTATGGCTGAGCCCATAGTCTGAGTTTTGTAATTAAATGGAGGAACGGGACTGGGTGAATAGCTGAACTTTCTAAGAAATATAAAGAAGAAATAAGACCACAAGTGTTTACACTTCTCTTAATTTTCATAAGGAAAAATGGATAAATTCCAGCTGTTTGAGACACCAGGGAAGTGGCTATAGATTGACACTGTGTAAAAATACTACCGAGATGATGTAAAGGGTGACGCACAGAAATAAACCATCTGTCTTAAAGGATAAAACTAATACAGAAAGCAAATAGATATTTCTCAAAACATTAGTGTAAAAAGACAATGCCTTCCTTTATTTTTATATCTGTCTGGAGTACAGGAAAGAACATTGGCTATTTTTATATCTGATACCTGGGTAAGTAGTCCAGGCTTTTTGAAGTGCCCGTCATTGGGCACTTTTCCTGCTTTCCAACACTTCTTACTTTTCCAACTCCCTCCACCCCTAACACAAGTTAAGTATTTCTCTTGAAGAATGCTGCAGGTATGGCCACATTTTAGAAAGGTTGTGGTCCACTGTATTACAGGCGACCTTGAGTGATGTACCAAATCCCACATTATATACAGCATCTGTTAAAATTAACATTTTAGCTGAAGAAATTGAAAATAGCATTAACAACCTTGCAAACTGCTGTAATTGAAAATATAACAGGAGCCAATTTAAAAAAAAAAAAAGGATCTCAGGACCAATGGCATGCATTTATGAACATAATCGCTGTCTATGAGCAAGCACATTCTTCCACCACACCAACTACCACATTCTTCTCTACATAGCAGTTCAATATTCCTCCATGGTCCACCCCTTCCCTACAGCCACATTCACTTTCCCGGCCACTGCATCCACAACCTTTCTTCCAGTAGCACAAAAACAACCACAATCTCCTCTACTAAAGCCACATTGTTCTCCATTTCCATAGTGACACATTTTTCTGTTCCCCAATTCCAATCACACAACCCTCAGTACAGCCATATACTTTCTCCCTTTCAAGCCTGTGTGACAGTTACACAACCCCTCAACGTCTTTCTCCTCTTGCAGATACAGCCTCTCTTCCAACACAACCACAGCTGCTTCTACCTTAGTCACAACAATATCCCCCACTGCCAGAGGCGTAACTAGAACCTTCAGGGCCCCGGTGCAACAAACCATGAAGGCCCCCCCCCCCCAAGGCACCGCATGGTTAACAGGCAGGCTGCCGAGGTCCCCAGCAAGCGCGGGACCTCAGGCAGCCGCTTGTTTACATTTTTAGTGTTGGTGTTCTGTCGAGAACACTGACCCAGTATCTGCGCTTGCGTACAGACGGGATTAACGAGGAAACCGGCATTTATTTACAAAGTATTCCTTTGTAATGGTTAATTGTGACCGTTAATAATATGCCGTCCATGGCAGTAAATAATGGGTGGCAGTAAATGATGGAATATTATTAACAGTCACAATTAACGATTTAAACTAAATACTTTATAAATAAATCGCTTTTCCCTCGATAATACTGGTCTGTGTGCAAGCGCAGATGCTGAGGTCGGCAAATTCGACTACGTCGGCGTTCTCGACAGAACACCGGTATCTGCGTTTAGTATCGGTTCATTTTCACGAGTATGAGTACTTGTGAAAATGCCCAGTATTGGCAGTGGTGTATCCCTACTCAAAAATATCATGCATTGCTGGGACTTGTAGTCCTACATAGTTGGAGCTATTCTGCATTGCTGTATAATCATCATATAGCAATGCAGAATATCACCAGCTGTGCGGGACTACAAGTCCCAGCAATACATTATAATAGAAGTCAGCACTACACACACTCCATGGAATCCAAGAAGATAGCAAAAACTACTGTAACATTTTACATTATGGCAAAAACTACTGTAGCATTTAAGTGTCCAGGTCAGGGGTATGAGGGGCCCAAGTCAGGGGTATTGGGGTTAAGGTGCCCAGGTCAGCATAGGGGTAAGGTGCAAAGGTCAGGGGTATGAAGAGTGAGGTGCCCAGGTCAGGAGTATTAGGCCTCATTCACACAGCTAACTGACGGCCCGTACAGATCCGTACGGTGTGCACGGCCGTATCGGGCCGCTCCAAGGAAGGGCAGGTGCTGCATGTGATTTGTGCGCAGCAGAAGGTTCTTCTGTATGGTAGTATGTGACCGCACTCTCACCCGAACTGCACATCCACGTGGGTGCGGGTGTCCATACTCGTACGCAGACAGGATGGTTCCTGTCTGCGTCCGAGCACAGACACCCGCACAGATGTGCAGTTCGGGTGAGCGTACGGTCACGTACTCCCATACAGAAGAAACTTCTGCTGCGCACAAATCACATGCAGCACCTGTCCTTCCTGGAAACGGCCCGATACGGCAGTGCACGCCGCACGGATCTGTACGGGCCAACAGTGAGGGCTTAGGGGTAAGGTGCAAAGGTCAGGGGTATGAAAAGTGAGGTGCCCAGGTCAGGGGTATTAAGATTACACTCACTAAGGCTGGAAGTTGCTTTCTGTTGCGCCTGCAGGTCACCTCCAGGTGTTCATTGTCCAGTAGCTCCCATGCTGCTTGCAATTGGGCCACTTTATTCTTATTGTTTCTGTTCCAGAAGGTCCAAAGAAATAGAGCCTGAATAACAGTCACTCAGCCCAACAGCCCGACTACATACACCAGCACGAGGTGAAGCAATACCTGGCTCACAGTCATAACATGACTGCTTGGGGCCCGATCCGGTACCGGAGGCTGCTTGTACCCCCGTCAGCGACCCTGGCCACGGGCCCCCTAATGGCCGCGGACACTCGGGCGGAGCACGAGTGCCGGTATAGTCAGTCCGCCCCTGAGCGACACTATCTCGGGGGGGCCCTCTTCTTCCTCGCCGGGCCCCCCCAAGTGGCGGAACGCCAGCGCCCGGTCGCAATTGCGACCGCTGCGACCCTGGTAGTTCCGCCAGTACCCACTGCAACCACATTCTCCAGCATCATAACTATATTCTCCTACTGATGCCACTTTCCCCAGCCACAGTGATCCCATCTCCTGCAGGCACACACTTTGCTGCTAACTTGCCTGTAATACAGTGGTGTCCAGGCCGTAAAGTGGAGAGGGAGCTCAGAACGTTTGTTACCTTAGAAATGTTTTAGGTTAGGACAGCTTCACTTTATTAGCAGCTTGGTCCTGAAGCAGACAGGGAGCAGCGGGGTGGCCATCCTGGGGCAGAGGCAGGCAGTAGATCCATGGCATTTTTGCAGAAAGACTCTGCAGATTTAGGCAAAGATCTACAGACTGCATTCAAAAAGTAGTTAAAACAGAACAAAGTTTTTAAAAGACCTACATTTTTTGCTTACCATGGCCAATAACAATAGGGTTCCAGCAAAGGCGTCCCAGTAACTGTCCAATAACAGGGAATTTTCCTATCACCGCATTGGTACTCTGCAATAATAATCAACAGTGATATCTTAATATTGGGACTTGGCCCCCTTCAGTCTCAAGTGTTTAAGAACAATTATTTTGATATACAGTATAAAAAAAAACTACACAAGAACTAACATGTACCAAAGTTACTTTTGAAGCTGAACTCTCGACAGATAAACAGCACACAGTAATGCATCATTACCGTATTTGCCGGCGTATAAGACGGCGTTTGAGACCCAAAAAAAATCGCCCGAAAATCGGGGGTCATCTTATACGCCGGGTATACTTCGGTATACTGTATGTAGCCGAAGCGACATACAGTATACCGAAGTATACCCGGCGTATAAGACGGCGTTTGAGACCCAAAAAAAATCGCCCGAAAATCGGGGGTCATCTTATACGCCGGGTATACTTCGGTATACTGTATGTAGCCGAAGCGACATACAGTATACCGAAGTATACCCGGCGTATAAGACGGCGTTTGAGACCCAAAAAAAATCGCCCGAAAATCGGGGGTCATCTTATACGCCGGGTATACTTCGGTATACTGTATGTAGCCGAAGCGACATACAGTATACCGAAGTATACCCGGCGTATAAGACGGCGTTTGAGACCCAAAAAAAATCGCCCGAAAATCGGGGGTCGTCTTATACGCCCAGCCGTCTTATACGCCGGCAAATACGGTAAATGTTTTTTTTTTTAATGCAGCAGTCCAAGGAGGGTTATTCATAAAGGAGCCGAAGAATTAAGCCGAAGCATCAGCTAATCCTTTGGCTCACTTTGGCTGTGGTGCCCTCTGGTTCAGCCGAACCGAAGGGTTGCTGTAAGGGCTATTCACAATATCGCGTCCGGCAGCCGAAGGGCTCACTAGCTGGCCCCGCCCAATTTTTGTAATTCAATGACAGCCCATCGTCCTCTGGGTATTTGAGGTCACTGGGCTGTCATTAAATGACATCTGGACAGAGTCAGCCGTGACATCACAGCCAGCTCCACCCAGTTGTCATTCAGTGACGGCCCAATGTCCTCAAATGACCTGAGGAAGCTGGGCTGTCATTGAATGACAACTAGGCGGAGCCAGATGTGACATGGCTCCCCCCAGTTGTTTTGATTTGGATGGGACCTGCGGGAAGACTCTTGACAGGTGCTGGGGAAATGTAAAGAGTTGGGTGGAGCTAGCGGTGATGTCACCGCTAGCTACGCCCAATTGTTTATATTTTGCCGGCATCTGTCAGGATGTAATTTTGCGGTGGGAGTTTTCGCGTGCAGATAGGTCAGTGGGCATCGGGTTCTATCTTTTTATTTCGGCAAGTCGTCATCATCGTGGACAGCGCTGGCCGTAGTGACTTGACCTTAGAATTACCTCATTGGATCAAATTTTTGGGATTTTAAAAACATTTTTAAAGGAATTGTCAAAAATCGTTGTAGTGTGCTTTTTTTTATTAAAGGATTTTTTTTTATTCTGATATTTTTATTTATATATATTTTTAACCCTTTGTCCCCCTTGTGAACAAATACTCATTCACAAGGGGGAGGCAACATCTGGGTGCCCCTTTATTAAAGGGGTACCCCGATGCAAATAAGCCCCCCTGCCCACAGACCCCCCACAACCAATGTCCCAGGGCTTGTGGGGAAGAGGCCCTTGTCTCAATTGACACGTGGACAAGATGCTTTTCCAAGGAGGACCCTGGAAAGGGTCTGGTTGGGAATTTTAGGGGGGACCCATTTTGGGAGTGGGGTTCCTCCTTAAAAATTTTACCAGCGCTAAAGGGCCTGGTATGACTTTAGGAGGGAACCCCATGCATTTATTTTTGAATTTTTAACTTGGGGTCCCTCCTAACATTCCTATCAGACCTAAAGAGTCTGATATGGATTGGGAGGGGGACCCTACACTTTTTTTTATTCTGCTCGCAAACTTCGAGGTAGTGAGCAGAATAGCGAAGCCAAATGCCACTCGGCGGCATTTGGCTATTCACTCACTGCTGTTAGGCCCCTATGAGAATAGGGCGAATAGCAGAAAGTGAACTGCCGGAGGTTCGGCTCAGCCGATATAGATGTTGGATCGGCTCAGTCGAACGGCCCCTTCACTTTGGCTCAGCCGAACATGCTGTGCATGTTCGGCTGAACCGTAGCCAGCCGATGTATAGCTGAAATAAGCAGTACAGGGCCAAAGTGAATAGCCAAATGGTGTTTGGCTCACTTCACTTTGGCATGGTTATTCTGTCGGCTGCCGAATAACCCCCTAAGTATCAGAATGTGGCTGGGTATCAGCTTATTGCAATCTAGCCAAATCAGGAAGTCGGGTGGCGTGCAATGGCTGCACGGCTTCCTGATACTGGAAGTTCCGGGATCGGGATAAGTATCGGGAGCATTTGGTCGAGAATTAGTACTCGCCCAAATACTCGGTATCAGCACCGATACTAGTTTTGGTATCGGTACATCACTAATAAATGTTAGGGGTTTATGAGCATTGACACAATGGACCATACACCATATAAAACTTCCATATTTCTGCACCCGGAAGTTACAGGTATACAACCGCCTGTATAAATCAATGATAGGATGTGGCTCTACAGTGGTAAACACTGATCCGAGCGTATACATGCATACAGGTACGGATATGCGTCTATGGACACAGACAGTCTGCCTGTGTGCAGTAACATTTAAAATGTTATTTCAATTTGAATACATCTAAATGTAACTAAATGATTAGCCATCTATAACATTCATAAACTGACAAAAATGTAAATATTGCTTCTATAGAGCAAGGGGGTTGGGGTGGGGTTGTGTGCTGTGCAACTAATACGCTCATCTGATTGGCTTATAACTTTCTGCACAAGTATGTACAGAGTTTGATGTAAAATTTCAGTCATCCCTAGCACTATAAGCTTAGGTTTTCTGCTATGATCCTTTCCCGTTTGATGAAATACAGAAATGCAATATATAATTTTCGCTTTTACAACACTGGAAATTATCATTTGATACAGGCAGACCCTTGCACTTAGCAGTCTGTTGGAGGATGTTGGCCTGATTCAGTGTCCACACAACAAAGAAAGGTAAGAATTTGCAATTAAGTTTTCTAAAAAAAAAAAATCGAAATGTAAATAATTGGCCCAGAGAGGATTTTCCCTCAAAAAAGTAGTTTCATTTTAATAATAGCTGCTTTTAAAAAGATTCCTGTAATGTTTTCTAAGACACTACTACTGCACAGAACAAGAATATCACAAAGTTGTAGGGAATGTAAAAACACAGTAAAGTATAACAGACCACCAATGAAAATGTTTTTGTAGATTTTCTTTTAAATGTACATTGTGATGGCTCATTCTATTCTACCTGCTACCACATTTATAGCTACATCATACAGTTTTAAGTAAGTGCTGAACAGGGATAATGCACATGTAAAAAACCTGCTAACCATCTCCTGCTGTTGTAATAAACATAACATCTTTGTTTTACATGCGCGGCTCACTCTAGACTTGCTGGGGCCATGCACAGAGACAGTCCATTGAGAGCCAACCTAATAACAGTACCAAAGAGCTACACAACACACAAAGTGGTATAGGCTCCTCATTATAGCTAGTGATAAATCATGGTTATTGCCCTGCTGCAGCCGTTATAGCTAGCAAGCCAGAGATGCTGTTGTTTACTATTGCTATTAACAGGCTACATTAATCTTAAATACATGGGACCTGCATCTTGCCAGCAATTTGACCCACCAAGAGACAACAAGATTGAAACTAATTGGGTTGGCAAGGATTAAGAGATCTTTTGTCTGTGAGGTAGAAAATGTGGTTTGAATTTTTGTGGTTTTGTGTAAATGTATTGTCATTCAAAGACTGCAACATCAACATCATATGTTGCTTTTTCAAATATAAATGCATACAGTACATTTGTACTTATAGAAAATAAATCCACAAAGTCGAGTATGGTTGAACTGAATTGATCATTTTGCACTGCAGACAAACACACATGAAACAAAATTCATTAAGTGTAGCTAGTTTCTGGTACAGAAAAATGTTAATAAGAATGGAAGTCCCACATGATAGCAAGGGCTGCAAACTAAAAAAAACATATTTGATATGCTTACCAGATTGAGGTTATTATTCATGTTAAACCACTGGAATGAAATGAAAAACCTCCCAAACTATAAATCATGAAAGATGGAAACAGATTACTATGTCTTTTAATCCTTATTTGCCGCTTCGATAAAGAAACATACCTCAGGTCAACACCATAAGTCTGCAAGCTGATGTGAGAATGAAGGTTTGATGAAACCTGGACTGTGGTTTAATACTCCACCAATACTTAAGGCTAATTTCTTTCAATAAGCTACTTACCATATGTTTCAAAGTTTCATAAATCTGCAACAGGAACTCATGTAATTTCGGCAAGTGAAGGCAGACATCTCGCTGGATTTGTAAAGTAGTAGTATCGCGCCACTCAACGGCTTTTCTAAGCCAAATCTCAATGTCCAGTTCAGAGACTGTGGTGGCCATTATCAGAAAAAAGAAGGTAAGCCAAAAGCAGATAATGTCTTCTCATTTGGAAAGTCTGAAATTAGAAACAAGGGCATGACTTAGTGTATGTGTTAAAAAGCTTACATTTTAGCATGATAAAACAGGACAAAATTATGTATTGAGAACCCTGGAAATCCCATCATAAATTGACGAGTGACACTTCCCTATTTCAGTCTCTTGTCGAAAAACGTTCACAACTTTGGACGTTTTTGGATCAAGTTACCCTGAAACATAAAAACTATTTCAAATGTTCTTTTTATGAATATGGGCATAAATGCAGGAGAGTGCTCCACCGCTCTATCCTTGCCAAACACACCTGTACTTATGTCCCCAAAATGATTTCCTCAAACTCTCAATTGGTGCACTGCACTTATCAAATTGTGCAGGCATTTTCTGCTTACTCTGACGTATCCAGTTCTAACTAGGGATGCACCAATACCGATTTTTCAGTATCGAGTACTGATATTTTTTTCGGTACTTGCTGACACCGAATACCGATACCGGAAGTCCCATTAAGGAAGCGGGGCGACATGTAATCGATTTTATTGGGGAAACACAGATTTTTAAAGATATTTTGTCCCATGATTTATTCAGGAGGCAAGTCCACCATATATGAGTAAGTGTGCCTACACATGTGCAGAATTTGATTTGTTGGTAAAGATTTGGTGTAATCTATGTGGTAACCTGTACTAATCGGTCAACAGTTTAAAGTGACATTAAAGGATAATTTGTTTTCCCTCCCCCCAATGTTAATGTCAGATACCTTACATCAGGGGTGGCAAACTCAAATTCATCGGGGGCCGCATCAGCAGTATGGTTACCCTCAAAGGGCCGGTTGTATAGGACTATGCTTCTACTCTGTATTATCATAAATAGTTGCCTCTGCATTCAGTTGCTACTGGTTTTAATAATAATTTAAGTAATAACTAGCCTTGAAAACATCCACAAGAAACTTTATTGGAGACTGCTCAGACTGCAGCAGAAATCCCTAATCTGGCGTTTTCAAGTGACAGCTGTCACCTAGTCAAGTTAATGATCAGGTGACAGCAGCTCCATGTAAACGCATGCACACCGCATGTAATGATACGTGATATGATTACATGCGTCCAGGTAGAGTGATTGATTCCTAGCGGAATGTAAACATATCACGTATCTTTACATGCGGTGTGCAGGCGTTTACATGCAACTTCTGTCACCTAATCATTAACTTAGGTGACAGCTGCCATTTGTAAAACGCCAATTTAGGGATTTCTGTTGCAGCAAAACGCAAGTTCCTGACGCAGAAATCCCTAATTGCACCTAAAATAAAGGTGTGAATGCAGCCTAATACACTTCTACTCCCCAAACTCCCCCCGTCCCCACCACACTCACATTAAAAAAATACATTTCCGATCCAGCGCTGACTCCTCTCTGCTTGCAGGCACTTCCTGTCCCATGGTGTCTGCATGCGGGTGCACGCCGCCCATAGACTTACCTTGTATATCTCCCTGTCTCCCGGCCGAAAACCCAAACTGCGCATGTGCCCGCCCCAAGATGCTTTGCGGCCACCTGAGAATTTTCAGATTTTCTGACGGGAGTGCGCGTGGAAGACACAGGTAAGCTTAAACTGCTTTAAAAAAAGAAACTTTTTGCATATATCTATTGCTTGCTAGCAGTAGATATATGCAAAAAAACTTAAGGGTTTAGAAACCCTTTAAAGTTTATCTTTTGTATGTGACTTGCTATACTAAGATTATGAGTGAGATACAAGCTGCTGTTTTTGGCCTCAGTGGAGAGGGCAATACCCAGTTCCTTTTCCCACTCCATGAAGAAATAAAAAATCTTCCTCGTGTGTGTAGGAAAGATAGGCTCTGTATGAAAAATATATATTATGATTAGGAATATCAATAGAAATTGCAACCAGGCTCCACTAGGGGGTCCAGCTAGGTTAACTGCCTCCGGGCCGGCCGTAATAAAAAAAAAAGCCGGCCGGGAGCTCTCTAGATCTGAGCGGGCGTCTTTAGACGTCCGCTCAGACACGCCCCCTCAGACACGCCAGAGTGGTGCGCGCGAGCAGGAAATGGCCGTAAAAAATTTAAAGTTACACATAAAAAAGAATAGTCCCCACCCATACATACACGCATGCAAAAATGCGTTGGGGGCGCATACGTGCAAAAAAGACGATTGCACCCATTACGCCGCAGATGTTACATATCGCCGCGAACGTCGAAGCTATCGCAGCGCTGAACACTGAAAAATGGCCTGGCCAGGAAGGGGGTCTAAACACCTGGTCTTGAAGTGGTTAAAGTTAGAGATCCATTCTGAAGACATTGGATCAGGTAAGAAGGTTTAGTGGAGTTCCTGTGAAGGAAGGATGTGACAAGACGGCCATCTGGTGAAGAAAGATTTTATTTCTGTCTGGTGGACTTTCACAGTTTGAGAGTATTCAAAATGTAGGGCAGTTGTGATGTAGGAGGAAGAAATTAAGGAGCTAACCATTGCAGTACAGTAAGGGGGAGAAGGTAGGTTTCTCTTTACAAATGAACCAAACGTTTTAATTTCTAAATGTTTTTATAAAGATGTATGTATGTGGTGTTATTTTCAATAAAGATTTATACTTTCTGTATATAGTAAAATATTAGATTAAATATAATTATTGACTAGATCATCTCTACATGGAAGGGTAATTGTTGTTAAAGTGTTAAATGCAAGGAGTTACAATACAGTCGATTTAATATAAAGGGGAACTCTCATACCATCCTTTCTTTTCTCTATACAATTGACACAAAGTTTACGGTCTTTAGTTCTGAACCAATAAAGAATGTGTGTAAAGATGGTAGCCTTATAATATGATTCAATATACATTCTTTTTTGGGGGGATGAATAACAAAGTTTGGGTTTTCTTCCCCTATCTAAATTTCATAAGGGCAGAGTTAAAGGAAATTCCAATTAAAAAAAAAGATAGTGCACACTTCTTAACAAAAGAATGAAATGTGTATGATGTGCATTCACATCAGTCCCTTCCCTCGAGGAGCTTACAATCTAAGGTCCCTGTTAGGGATGCACCGATACTACTATAGGTATCGGTGCCGATACCAAGTATTTGAGCAAATGCTAGTGCTCAACCAAATGCTCCTGATACCGGAACTTCCAGTATCAGGAAGCCGGGCGGTGAGTCATTACACACCACTCATCACCAGGGAGCGTGGAGATCCACCCAGCTGGCTGAGTGACAGCGGGCTCTGCCTATCTAGAGGCAGAGCCAGCTGTGCCCGCCCCCTTCCCCATCCGTTTCTCCAGTCAGTGCTGGAGGATCGGAGAGGGGAGGAATCCCTGCGGGGAGTGGTGACAGTCACCGCTCTCTGCAGGGAGATGATCGGAAACTGAGCAAGCGACGGATATGTGTTCGCTCCCTTCCTGATCAATTGAGCCGACGCGGGACAGTTTCATTGTCACACGTCGGCTCTAGCTATGAGGATGAGTGGAAATCACTCACCTCATAGTTCTCCTTTAACTATTAACATAACTGTACCTCATTGAGCTGTAGATCCTCAAATGATCTCTGAATTGGTGCTGACATTGTCCTTCCTTCTGTAGGGTGGCTACTTTTGTTCCCCATGGTCCCTGTGTGTGTTGTAAAGTAGTCACCACTTCAAGCTCACTCCTGTGATGGACTACAATCTCAATACAAATGAGTAAACTAAACATGAGATTTCAGTCCATCTCAGGAGTGAGCTTGGAGCGGTGACTACTTTACAACACACACAGGGACCATGGAGAAGAAAAGTAGCCCTCCCCCCAGAAGGAAGGACAGTGTCGGCACCAATTCAGAGATGATTTGAGGATCTACAGACGAGTGATACACAAATAAGATATATTTTTGTTAATAGTTAAGGTACTTCAATGGATTTTTAAGATTTAACTCCTGAGTTTAGCAAATTAAGTTATGTATTTCTGAGCCCTGTGCGATACGTACTGTCAGGGATGCGGAATTCCTATCCCCTGACGCTCAGGACATGCAGTTTCGGGCGTCGGGCAGGTGCTTGTCTTCTACATTTAGCCCTGCTATGGGCAAGCATGGCTAAATGTAGAGCGGGGAAGCCGCCGCTCATTTTGTACAAGTGATCACTTGTATAGCAGCCTGTCTGGCCCCCCTCCGCAAACCCCCCCCCCCGCCACTCTTCTGGGGGACCCGGGACCACAGCAATGACTTTAGGATGGAGGGCAGGGAGCAGATCGGAGAACGCCCGTTCTGCAATCTGCTCTGTGAGAGACAGTAGCGCTGTACTCACAGTGCTTCCTGTCTCAGGTACAGGAGATCTAGCACAATGCGGTACTCAATTTTCAGTAATAGAGGACAGGCTCCATGAAGTGAACCTGTCACCTCCAGACACTATCACATAGGGGATTTTTAGTCCCTGTGGGATGGCAACTAAGTCAAATGGGGAAAAAAAGTAATAAAATAAATAAGAATAAAAAAAATAAAGTGATAAAATGTAAAAAAATATATAAAAGTGATAGAAAATGTAAAAAAACTTAAAACCAACCTCACAGTCCCCGCCATCTGCATGCAAATAAATGCATATGTCGGACATTGTGTGCCCCCATTCCACTGTGTACCATAGTGTGGCAGCCGCGCACTCCACACGCACAATGTACATTAAAGGGCAAGTTCCTTTTCTCAAGTAATTTGGCAAAACTGAATTACCAGCTCAAATCTGCCCTCCCCCCTCCCCCCACTATACTTACCTTTCGGCAAAGGGTCCCTTCCACCAGTATGGGTGTACTATCTGTACCCCATACTGCCATCCAGTGCAGCCGTGTGATATAGATTTTGAACTACGCTCGCAAATTGTGAGCACTTGTTGGTCAGCGCCGGCCAGGTGAGGGCACTGACCAATGAGAAGCGCTTCTTAGCAAGGTTAAATATGGTTTTAGTTTTAAAAAAAAAATTTGCATCACGACAAGTAGATTTAGAGGGTTATTTACTATTGAGCCTAAGGATACAGCCGCAGCTTCGACTGATCCTTCGGCCGCCAGAGCCCTTCGGTTCAGT